ACCTGGCCAGTATCCCTCAAGACCATCAAGGTCATGAGAAAGAAAAAAGGAAAAGGAAAAACTGAGCAAGCGTCCCAGACCAGAGAACGCTCGGAGACATGCTAGCCCAATGCCATGTGATGTCCTGGACTGGATTCTGAAATACAAAGTCCAGGTTTAGTTAATTGTAATAAAGCAACATCACTTTCATTGGCAAAGGTACCATCATAATGCAAAATGCTGAACAACAGGGAAGCTGGGTGAGGAATATAGTATAACCCCAAGTAGTATCTTTGCAACTCTTTTGTAAACCTGTAAATATTCCAAAACAAAAAGGTTTTCTTTTAAGAAATTGGGTGATGCATACCAGATGATGCAATTATGAGACTGTATTAAAACTTAAGAAAGGGAATTTGCAGATATCTGGCCAAACGAGCAAATATGAGCTTTCAGTGTTTACACGTTTCATAGGTTTAAACATCTTGCCATCATGGCAGCCTCTTGTACTAGTCAACACCGGAAAAGTAAATTGAACGATTAATTGTGTTTTGTTCCCACATTCTTTCTGTGATATTTTTCAGTGTTTTCAATTCTATTTTGCAATATGAGAAAGTGATTCGGTGGGTGGTGGTGGGTTCACTTTGAAGTGTAGAAGTGAGCCTGGATTTTTGGACCTGAGATTAAGGAACAGTGTGACAGTAGCAACAGCAGCCACAACAATCCTCGCTACCATTTTTGGAGGGCATGCTAATGTGCCAGATGTTGCACCAGGGGTTTCACATACAAGATTGCATTTAACTCTCAGCACTCTATGAGGTTGCAATTATATTCTCATTTTAGAGATGAGATATTTGGTGATCAGAGAAATTACTTTGTCAAGGTCGTGAGATTCAAACACACACATTTCCAACTCTTCTACCAAGTCAGTAAACAAAAGGCAGGAAAATTCCATTACAATATCATTAGTCTATACCACAGAATCATATACTGAGATTATATATTATCTATTATACATTATATATTACATATTATAAATATCCAGATAATATCCATTATACTGAGATAATGTATATAAAAGGGTTGTTGCATGTAATATTTGCTATAAAGCAAATGTTAGTCCCCTCCTACTTTTATAGGCTACATCTGCTTTCAATTAGTTCTAAACTGGTTTTTGCTTTTGTGTTTTAAGTCCTAGACTTTTATGAATTATCATAGCAGCTCAAAAGTGCAGAGTAAGCTAATGCCAGAAGTAAAGTTTAGTTTATGTGGAATAGAGTTAAATCTTGGTCAGTATCAAGTTATTCGAGATATAAAAAATAGGTCATATATCAATGAAACTCTTTTCAAGTTAGAAACATAACAGATTTCCTTTAAAATTTTTTAAAAAATTGAATGTAGTGGGGTGACATTAATTAATAGGATCATATAGTTTTCAAGTGTACACTTCTATGATACATGATCTATATATAATTACTACATCCCACCCTAAGTCAAAAGGGGTAGGGTTGTAAAGAACAAAGGGGGCCAAATAGATGGCAATGGAAGATAACAGATTATCCTTTGTCTAGACTACATCAGGGAAAGGAAAGAATCTCCATATACCCCCTAAACTTTTTTACTTCTTACAACTAGTCTAATAATAAAATAATAAACTTGACACAAGGCTAAATTAACAGGACAAAAACAATTTAATATGTATGCATGAGCAGTTATAATATGATCACAAAATGAAGCTCAAAGAAATCACTGAATCAGAAGCCTTTTTATGATTTTTAGACAAACAATACATTTGTGAAGAATTTACAGGACAAAAAAGTTAGTGTCTGTCAGAAAGTTATCTAAGCAAGGGTTGGGTATTGATTAGTGAGGAACCTAAACACTTTGGGCTTGGATAGTAAATTAATAAAGAGGCAACCAGGTTTGTTTATGCAGACTCTTTGGCTCTGGGTTCTTTAAATCTAATGATAAGAGAAACCTCTGCCTCCAGGTCCAAAAGAGGGCCTTTAACATGGGAGATTTATGTCCTACTTTTAGGGGCACAGAGAGGTCAGTGTTGTTCTTGCACTGGCTGTTTCTGAAGTAAGCAACATTAATTCAAAATAAACAATATGCTACTGTGGGATACTTCAGGGCCTGCTGGGACTCCAACAATTATATAATGATGTGCTTTATTATGGACTTCTTTATATACTTTATTCAGATTATAAGAGTGAGTCTCTGCTGTCATTATATTATAAATTTACTTTAGGAAAAATTTTTAAATATGGCCACTTTCTCTTTATGTTCTACCTTTTAAGTTGAATAAATTTGCCACCCTTGGACAGTATAACCATTATCTCAGGGTTAATAATTCATAAGCCTTGTGAAGAAGGCTCAAATTGCTTTACCTAAGTCTAAAATTTACCAGCAAGAGCTGAGGGAGGGACTGGCAAAGACTAACCTTTTCGTGCTATTATTTTAGGGTGAATGCCCCCAGGTAAGCTGGAGCCAAATGAAAGGAGAATGAAATGTATCTGAAATAGCTCAGTCATCCTTTTATATGCTGAAACAAGCCAGGCTACTAAAAGGGCTGCCGTCCTGTAATCACCGAGGAGTCCTGCCTTACAGAGGAAAGCAGGGCTTTGTGAGACAACAAACATTCGATTTGTAATGTAATATAAATAATGATGCAGGCACATGAGCAAGATTCTATTAAACAGTGATGGCAAACAGCCTGTGATGCCTGGATCAATCACTTGCTGTCTCATCAAAAAAGGGGACTAATTTTTAAGCCAAGTAATGGAGTACTACTCTAGTTCAGATTGTGAATGTGGACAATAAATAAATGATCTAAGAGGATTCATTCCCTTTTTTCTTCTGGGATGCAGGTCAGTGGATTCCTAGACTCCTTTTATCTGGGTGTGTTCTATGAATTTCATTTAATTAATGCTTGTAAAATAAGATATCTACTTTGGCATGTATGTCACCGATGGACTTGAACTGGTGTTTGCCTTTATACTCAACTTGACCTCTGCCAGCCTTCCCATGAACCTGTGGTTAGTTTCAAGTTGAACCCAAGCAAAACAGAGTTAGAAACAAGTAAAAACCCCAAAGGACAAACTTTCCTGTACAACCACAGGTTAGAAGCGTCATCACCATATATTAAAAGCAGAATGCCTGAGTTGGCCATCTTTACTTCTAATTAATATATTATAATCTTTAAACCCAAATCTTTAAAATGAAATAAATTCTTGATTCCCTCTTTGAGTGTTTCTTTGTACTTTGGGTCTCAAAGACACTGCTGAATTTGTTGGATTTATATGTACACCAAGTCACCTCCCACAATTTGATATAGGGTTTCCTCATACAGAAACTGTATCACATTAAGATACGATGAGTAAAGCACCTGCCAAGAAGTATCATCTTGTGAAACTCAGATCACAACTACCTCTGGCAATGACAGACAGATAATGCATAGAATAGACAGAACAGATCATTGAAATGTACAGAGAAGCCAAAAATCCCTCCCCACTCCCAACTGACTAGCTTCAGAGTTGATGGTAAGATGCAAAATAGTACAAACTTGAGATCCATTCTCTCTTTTTATTTTTCAAGAATTGTAATCTCTTTGCTTGACTTGAGAAAGAATAAAAACACTATTCTTTACAATTAGTTATCTCTGAAAGTCAGTTTCACATACATTGTAACTAAACCTCCCATTTCAAACATATATATCCATCACATTACGGGTTAAATTAGATTTTGTGCTAATCTGTCACTTGTAATCTCATTTACATTAGAAAATGTAATCTCTCATTGACAGAAGGGAGTAATATGGGGAATTTGCCCTCCTCCACCTCCAACTTTCCTACCAAAGGAAATGCGGGTGAAGGACAGAGTGGGGGAAACTAACCCGGTATTGACACAGAAAAGAGCCAAGAGGACTGAGGAAGCTGAAGCAGCAGAGAGAACTGAGAAGGCAGTAATTTCACACAGAATTCCCTAGTAGGTGACTGGGCTGCCATGGAAATGGGTCCTTACTCATCGCCACCTCCAGATGCAAAAGTCCTTGCACCCAATCTTGAGAGTGTCCCTGAATTCCAGGATTTCCATCCACCAAATCCCACTCCAAATCACAGGTTCAGGAACAAGAGCTTGGAAGGCATTCTCTCAGAGATGCAGCCCGACTCCACCCCTGCCAGTTTTAACTATTTGCATCTTCTACAACTCTAGGCAGGTTCACGCTTGGAGCCAGTTTGGAGTTTTAGTTCATAAACCTCTGGTTTTGTACAAAATGCCTTTTTCTCTATTAGCATCCCTGCTGTATCCTTGGACACTGGACCTGATATTCTCTGACTTTGATTGCAATTGACTACTGACCCCCATAATTATGGGGGGGCATAATAGTGACTAGAATGTAAAAAAAGTGCCCAATAAGTACTGAGGGACAGATGTAGTGAATACAAATTAGTTCTCTATTTCAAGAAATATTTAGAAAATGTGAACATAGAGAAATAATTCATATATTGACTCAATTTAAGATTCTGGAAACAGTGACACATCCTCAAGGAATCACTTTATCATGACATTGAATGTGACTTGGGCCTTGTTTTAATATCATATAATCACGTAACAGCTAGAAATGTTGGACGTGTCCTCACCGATAACTGTCATGAAGAACGAGGACAGTCCTCGATGATGCCAGTTTCCAGGAAGACACCTATGCTAGATGTTACTCTACTATGTGGTGTCACCACCTTTCTGCTTTCTCATTTTAGATAAAACCAAGACTTCAAGTGGTTAATAAACCAACTGGTCCTAACTTGGCATCTTGAGCAGGAAAATTTTATTCCATGCTCCTGTTGCATTTTCTTCAGTCCACCTATCATCACTTGGAGTTCCCGTGTTACTTCCCTTCCCTTCCCTTCATTTCTCTAACCATGGTTTTCAGATCCGAGATGAATCTATCCATCGAACCAAGGAAGATCAAGAAGATGAAGATAGGCAGATCACAGGAAATCAATGAAGCACTTCCAACTTACAAGCTTCCCGGAGTTTCTCTTTGTCATAGTGGAACCCTTCATAGTCTTGCAAACTGATTTTGTTCACGCGGATCCTCAGGCGGTCTGGGATAGACTGGGGACTGCAAAACAAGAACCGCATAGTCAGACCAAAATGAGAGTGGAACTGGGAGTCGTATGCACCCGGGGGGACTACATGTGATCCTGTCTTCGTTCTTAGAAGAGAAAGTTCACTGTCAAACAGAATTGTGGGCTCTTACAAACTATAGCAATGACCTGGAGAACACATCCCCAGAACCACAAGTTTCTGAAATTTAGGTTAAAAACATGGAAATAAGCCGGAAAAGCTTCTGGAGACCACTCATATCATATTTGCTATTAACTTGGTAAAAATGCTAAGATCACATGTTTAGTTCCACAATAAATTACATGCAGTGAATCTGAAACAGTGAATAGTGGGTAGAGTGATAAAGAAATGTTCTAGGCAAATAAGCTGTAACAGCCAAACGTGCCAGCTTGACCCTTATAAGAGACAGGAAAACTATAAAAAGAGAGCTAATGATCCCCAAAAGTACAGGAGCGAGACTGAAACAGCTCTAGACACCTCAATAGTCTCTGAGAGCAACTCTTGGTCAAAACATATCACAGTGAACACTGCCTGTGAGGGAGCCTCTGAGCATCGCAAAATAAAACTCAAAATTAAAAATGTGCACCAAGTACCTTCCTTAGGAAGGAAATGAAGTATGCATTTCATTTTCAAAGAATTCAATCCATTCTAGTTCATGATATTAAACAATAAAGGGGGTAGTACCGAACTCTCCGAAGCAGCCTGTTCATCTTCACAGACTTCACCTGGATTCCTTGAATGTTCTTAAGTAATACTTTCAAAATAGTTTAATTAGGGTTATTAGTTGAGTGAATCAATTTAGTTTTCATCATCACCATTACAAATCGATATATTTCTTTAATATATTAATAAAACACAATCCCCACGTGTCCCTGAATATTATACTTAAATTTCATTGGTTCAGAAAATTTTCTCAAATAAAGGATTACTTCTTTCTTCTATTATGGGATAAAAGTCACCATTGACTAAAGTAAAAAGAAGAGCATTACTCCTTCATTCATTTTGGTGAAGGAAGGAAGGAAGGAAGGAAGGAAGGAAGGAAGGAAGGAAGGGAGGGAGGGAGGAAGGGAGGGAGGAAGGAAGGAAGAAAAATGGAAGGGAAGGGAAGGGAAAGGAAAGTGAAAGAAAGGGGGAAGGGAGGAAGGAAAGATAAAGGAAAGGAAGGAGAGAAGGAGGTAGGAGAGGAGAGGAAAGAAAGAAAAAAGGAAAGGATGGATGGAAGGAAGAAATGATACTTTTAAAAAATTGTCAGAATACTGCTACTACCACCTCAAACACACACACACACACACACATACACACACACGCGCACACACACACACGAGTGTATTTAATTTCATTACAATTCTGTTAGATGTAGAGGGAAAATAATTTAATCTAATTCTCTTGTCTAAAACCACATTTTAGGGCAAAGTATAGTTAACTCCCTCCATATAGACTCCCACTCTACTCATCCCCAAAGTAAAACACATACTCCCTGTATAGATATATGTGTACATCCATACATAGTTCTCTCCCCCGAAACACACACACACATACACACACATTTATATATAAGTGCATGAATTCTAAAGAGATGGTGAACAGATAAAAATGTCTATAGTTTACTGAATTAAAAATTAAGCCTACTAGTATACTAAACCATGAGATGGGTGCTTCTGAGGGGAAGTTGAGAAGCCAGATTTAACAGCTGCATTGGTCATTCAGCCAAAGGTGTTTGCTGGGTGTCCAGTTTGTATGAGGCATTGTGCTGGACATGGACAGGCAACTGACATAAATACTTACGTATTTAAAGAGTTATAGCTTGACAGCAGCTTTGTAATGAGTGGAATACACTTTAAATATCATGCGTACTCACACCATCAGTTACAGATAGGAAAACTGAGGTTCAGAAAGATAAAGTGAATTCATGGTCACACAGCTACTAAGTGGCAGAGCTGGGAGCAGAGCCTTGGACTTTTCACTCAGTGGTTTCATGCTCCTTATATTATATGATGCCAAGAACCCCACGGATTTGACAGCAAAGCCTAGAGCAGTGATGGCGAACCTATGACACGCGTGTCAGAGGTGACACGCGAACTCATTTTTTTGGTTGATTTTTCTTTGTTAAATGGCATTTAAATATAGAAAATAAATATCAAAAATATAAGTCTTTGTTTTACTATGGTTGCAAATATCAAAAAGTTTCTATATGTGACACGGCACCAGAGTTAAATTAGGGTTTTTCAAAATGCTGAGACGCCGAGCTCAAAAGGTTCGCCATCACTGGCCTAGAGCCTGGATTCGCAGAATCAGATGAGCTCAGTGTTGTGCTCACAGTCTTTTCTTTATCAATCGACAATCAGTGGGGGTGGTTTAGTAAACTGGTACATTCAAACAAGAGAATGCTGGGCAAATATTACATGATTGTGTAGATCTACATTTATGTAGGGAAACGTCTGACAACAACATACTGGTAAGTGAAAAAAGTCATGGGAAATTATACAGGGTGGAATCCCCTTCATGTACACTGTGGAACCTTGGAGGTTGTATATGTAGAGAAATTTCTGGAGAAAATGTTCAATGAGCTGGTCCCAAGTGGTCATCTCCATGTGATGGGATTTGGCAATTATTTTACATTAAGCGTCATCATTTTTAGAAAAATCATATAATTATTTTTATAGTCTGTCAATATATATATAAATGAATGATGATAACTCAGGACAAGAGTAAAAATAGGAATTATAGCAGAGTGTTAGGTATTAGATGGGAAAGATTTTCAGAGATTAACAGAGTGACCACACAATGTTCATACCAAATGCTTATCCTGAAATAAAGAGGGGTCTAATCCTTTTATTTCCAAGTTCACCCCAATGACCTGCATGGACTGTAGTTAGTAAATATTTTCCTGCAAGCATAGCAGATAAGAGGGGAGCTGGAATCATAGAATGTGGTGGTCCATCATACTCTGTGATGGGAGATGAGTGAGGATAGAGGTAGAAAAATCTCTCTCTATACAATATTTGAGATAACAGCAGGCCACTGACAGTGACCTCTTGTCTTCTCCTGTAGGCTGGAGCTTCCAAGACTAAGACCTGGCTACAGCAGTAGCAACAGAGTGGGAAATAGGAACCAGAGAATGGATCCAGTCACTGTACCCCTCCTCCAGGGAGCTCCTCAGGGCTAATAAGTGTGTGTCACCTTTATCAAGTTCCCTATCAACAGCCTTCTGCCTCCCAGCCTGTCATCTCTGCCTACCAATTCCAACCACACACTGTTGCCTCCGGAACCACAGCCTCCCACCAATCTTCCTGACTTAAGGGTGGGCACACTGTGGATGAACAACAGAAACTTTCATTGGAACAGAGCTTTCAGATCCCACATGAATTCACATATTATCTCGTTTCATCTCTGGAATGATCAGCTAAGCAAGATGGAAGAAAACAGAGACTCTCTCTAACCACCTGTCACGCTTTTCTATCCAACTTCCTATACAAGCACTGTCTTGTTCTCAGCTCCCGTCTTCTGCCAACAACACATCCCCCATTCCTGCCAGCAGCAGGTTACTTAAACCCAGTTTACTGATCAGGACCCTGCGTTTGGCCTGCCATCAAATGTTGCCATTGATGAGGCCCATCAGCAAATTTCAAAGCCTTCCATCCTGGAGACCATGGTGGAAAACCTCTTGGAATTATTCTGTGCCTCAGTGTAAACAGTAGCTAAGGAAAGCAGCTCGACAAAGGGGCAGCTCAGATTCCAAGCCAGATGGCCTGGATTGGAAGGAAAGCTCTTCCACTTATTGGTTAATCAGGAAACTCTGTGCTTCAGTTTCCTCGTGGGTGAAGAGATAATAACACTATTCACCTCATAGGGATATTATAAGAATTGAATGTGCTTAGAAAACTGGCTGGCACATTGTAAGTGCTCAATAGACATTAGCTATTATCAGTATAATTATTATTCTGAAGATTCTGCTCTTAGATAAGGTTCTGCCTAATAAGCCACAGAATCTGCTAATATCAGGTATTGGAAGATGTTTAAGGCATATACAGGAACCTCCTAGACACTTGTGACAAGCGGTTGGGCTTCCTCTGGGTGAATACTGTCTAGCCTGGCTGGTGTCACAGTTCTTCTGGGTTTCCTCCTACCTAGTATTTTACAGGGAAATCGATAACATGAAAACAGACTAGTACATGGGGGAGAAAAAGCACACAGAGATGAAATGAAAGCCAAGTAATTCAGTCGTGTCCCTTTATGTCAAAATATATTAGCGTCCCATTAGTGGCTGACTGGAGTGGAAGATGACAAAGGTGTTCCGTGGAGTCCGGGGAACAGCATTGCTATTAGCTTTCTAAATTTAAATTTGCCAAGGAAGTTAGTAGAGCACAGAAGAGACTAATAACCTGGTTAAAAATACACTCGCCTCCCTGCCAACATCTACCGCAAGCTACTCCTATCCTGATTTAAGTAAGCTCTACATTAGGGGTTCCAATAGAACCTCTCAAGAGTCTCAAAGGGACTCAGCAATCTGTGAATTACCTTTGAAATTGGGCAGTGACCTTAACCTGTCACCATCTCACTCATTTTCTCTGAAGCATCGAGTTTGAGCTTGGGCAGAGTGGAAGTTCATGGCTCTGAACTTAACTTCCAACTCTCCCCCATGAGGACTTTCTCAAGAACCATAAGAACACCTCTCATTAAAGTCGTTCGTGTAGGCCTCCAAAATTTCCAGGCCACAACCCCCTGTCCACAGTATGCGTACCTCTTCCCCTGAGATGTTGGGGGCAGGGAGTGGAGTGCCATCAAGACAATCACCTGAACTCTTTATTTCCAATTTGAACTCTGCCAATGCTTAACATTATGAATGCTGATGTTACCTTCCCTAAACCATTTTCTGATCTAAATATTAAATTAATAATAATGTATTGATAGTTCTATTTTTAAAATTTTTAAGAAGTACAAATTGCCAGTCATAAAAACAATCATGGGAATGTAAAATACAGCATAGGGAATATA